TTTTGCAATATAACCAAAAGTGTTCACCGTAGCTCTTCTGATAGCCTTCTTGTGGGCCTTTAACAATTCTAGCAATTCAAAACAAATTCTCATCCATTCTCTGGCGGAGACGTATTCTGGTCCTCTATCAGCAATTCGGCCGACAAGGTCGATGCAGTTTTCTTGTACTTTTTCGTGACGATTTTTCAAAATTGGTGTCAGTCTGGGGAGTAAATCTTTGATTGGAGGTGTCATTTTGGTCATACCGATTACGTGACAATAGCTTTTAGGGCTCCAAGGATGGAACCGAGTACTTCGGGGTATTCTTCTCCTAAGTATTCGTAAAGGACGACGCCTAAATGGCTCATTAACTTTTCCTAGAGGAAAAAAATAAATTAGTAATTAAAAATAAATTAGATACCAATAATGATTTGAATAATGACAACATGCTGTTTTTAAATATTTGAAATTAAAAACTAGTTTGAACCTTAAGGCGAATTGCTGGAACTGCCCATACCATATTCAAAATATGCAAAAACAAAATATTTCTGTAGAGCAATTCCAAAAAAATTTGAAATTTTCAAAATTTTGAAAATAAATCGATTTTTTTTTTTGAAATTTTAAAAAACCTCGATTTTTTTTAAAATAAATATGAATTTCTTCAAAATATTCAAATTTTTTTAAAAATTTTAAAAAATACTATACAAAAGTATATTTATCAAAAGCTAAATATTTGAAATTAAAAACCGCTAGTTTGAGTTTTAAGGCGAATTGCCGGAACTGCCCATAAAAATTCAAATTCAAAATTTTTCAACTTTTTTGTAATTTTGTGAAAATACATTTGATAATTTATAGTTTTTTTTAAAAGATTTTAAAAAAAATTGAAATTTTTGAAAAAAAAAGGATTATCAAAATTGAAAAATTTGATATCCAAAAAAATTTGAAATTTTCAAAATTTTGAAAATAAATCGATTTTTTTTTTTGAAATTTTAAAAAAACCTCGATTTTTTTTTAAAAAATATGAATTTCTTCAAAATATTTAAAATTTCTTAAAATTTTCAAAAAATACTATTCAAAAGTATATTTATCAAAAGCTAAATATTTGAAATTAAAAACCGCTAGTTTGAGTTTTAAAGCGAATTGCCGGAACTGCCCATAAAAATTCAAATTCAAAATTTTTCAACTTTTTTGTAATTTTGTGAAAATACATTTGATCATTTTTAGTTTTTTTTAAAAGATTTTAAAAGAATTTGAAATTTTTGAAAAAAAAAGGATTATCAAAAGTATTTTCAAAAAGAGTTGAACAATTTTGAATATGGTGCAGGCAGTTCCAGTAATTCGCCTTTACCAAAAACTAATCAGCACATCTCCTTATTAATAGGAATCGAATATTTTTTTACCCATACAAATCGGTTGATCCGTGCGCCAGAAAACGTGGACGAAAAATTGTGTCCATACATACATACTTCCACACAAACACACACATTTTTTCTGAGGTATGCCAAAATGTTCGGAGATACGAAGCAAAGAGCGCAGAAAATATAAATCGTGTTTTTGAGAGAACGGAGCATCCGATTTGAATGATCCAAAAAAATAATTTGTAATGAAGAGGAAAAGAGGTGGTTAGATTTTGGCAAAGGCAGGTCTAGCTGTTTCGCAGATGCGGAGCTAAATGCGCTAAAAATGGCAGTTTTTGAGAGAACTAAGCATCTTATTTGAATGATTCAAAAAACTTTCTTCTTGTGTTGACGAAATTATTGCTTTGGGAAATATTTTTTTTTAATTTTTTCATTTCCAAAAAAATATTTTTTTACATTATTCATTTACATTAATTTTTATATTATTCTTCAAATATTTCATTATGGTGCGGGAAGTTCCAGCAATTTGCCTTAAGTCACGATGCCATACACCTCTAGTAGTTCAAATTGTTTTTGAAATTTTTGAAAATACGTTTTTTGAGTTACTTCAGTTTTTTTGGAAATATTTTAAAGACTTTGCAATTTTTGAAAAAAAAAACATTTTTTAAAATTTATTTCGAAAGGGTTTTTGAAATTTTTGAAAAAAAAAATCGATCTTTTCCAAATTTTTGCGATCGAATCAATGCGATTTGCTAATTTATAAATCGTTCAAACAGACATTAAAATAATTCCAAATTTATCGTTTTATTCTGATTCATTTCCCCACTTACCTCTTGGCAAGTTTTCATGACAACAGCTATTCTGGAAATAAGATCAGCAGCTTGCTGTCGAACCTTTGCACTTTTGTTATTCAATCTCCAGAGAATTGTACCGCAAATTTGTGGTAAATAAGGCCTCACACGTTTACCTAATTGATTGACTATCGTGCCAAAACCATTTAACATGACCACATCCTAAAAAGAGAAAAGATTCATTAATAAAAAAATATAGTTAAAAATAAATGATAAATCTATATTAAGGGGGCATGCAGATGCCTCCAAAAATGCTATTTTGAAACCAAATACGTCGAATTGGTGCCAAAAAATTATTAGCTATTTTTTATGTATATTTTTCCTTACATTGTATATTATTTTGTAGCCGAATTGAAGAAAAATTATAGTCTCATTATTTAACTTCTTTAGGCGCGACTAGGAAGTAAATTTGTGAAAATGCAACGGAAGTTGCGTTACGCTCGAACTGTTCGTCATTCGTTTTCGATGAAATCATTTCTATGCGGGTCGATTGTGATTAGTCGTCGTGTCGAGTGAATAGAGATCGGAATGTCTTAAGGTTTTAAGGTTACATCGTAGTACAAATCTTGACTTAATGAAAAATGCCTGAATCAGAAGAATATTTTACCTTGTCCCCCCGTAAATACTTAAAATACTTAATGAAAATAATAGAACAAGTAAACATTTGTGCCATGTAAGAAACGTAAGTAATACGTAACGTAAGGTTATTGAAATTTCTATATTATTCATAGTTTCTATAAATTTTTGATGTTATTAAAATAAAAAATATTTTAATTACATGAAGTTCATCAAACACAATTACATGATGGGTGAAATTGTGAAAACAATATTTCTTTAGGCATTGTTCAATATAATCCACTGTTTGAAATAATATTATAGAATTTATTAATCAACAATTACTTCTCTAATAAAGGTTCAAGCCCCAAGTGCTAATTACAATGACCGATCAAGTCATATTTGAAATATGATTTTAATTACATTATTGTTCTCAAATATTATAAATATTTTTAATACTATTATAAATATATAATTTATTATTATATAAATATATAAAATGGTTGTCATTAATAAATGTGGTCATCACGAGTGTTACCATATTACTAATAAACATTATTCAAAATAGTTATAGGATGTATTTATTTTTAACTAAAATGCCATCTCGTACAATAGCAAAAAAGTTTTACTTCAATCGCGTAAACCTTACGCGCACTCTTTTTTTTCAAAAAGAGATGCAGGTATAAAAAGTTTGGAAGCTACTGCGAATAGGTGTTTTATGTAACTCAAGCACTAATTAAAAATAATTATAGCTAATAACTCATTAGTTTTTATATTTGGTTTTTAAAAATGTATGATTTTTATGCAAAATTATTAAAAATCATACTTTTTTTTTGCTTTATTTTATGTAGCAAACTATACAATAAGCTGAATGCACTTATTATATAGTTTGCTATGTAAAATAAAAAAAAAAAAAAAAACGTATGATTTTTAAAAAATAAGTCCATTATATGTCTACTACTAATTTTTTTTTCTTCACTTACTTCTGTGGTTTGTTCTTGGAAAGCATACAAGATACCATCAATAAGTTGTTCTTCCAGCCTCGAATCAACATCAGCAGCTCCCAAAGCACCCATTACTTTCTCAATAGTCTCCATAACCATTTTACGATACTGTTCATTTTCATCCTTCAAATCATCTACTACTCGGGTAATTATTTCTGAGGAACCAACCTATAATAGAAAAGAAGTTTGAAGTAACCAGGAATAAGCATAGAGAGCTGGAAAAATATTAAAAAGTGTTTCTCAATGAAACTATAATATTTCTTGATATCGATTTTGCTGCATAATAGAAAAATGTTATGGCAAGACCCTGTTACATTCCATTTTCCATACATTATGCTACTGAATCATACTGAATACTGTCAAAATGTCATGTATTTGCTATGCATTCAGGCGTTTTACACATAAACAATAATAAATATGTATACTCTTTGTCTTTCTTTAATTATACTAATATTATTGAAATTCTAATTAAAATTATGAACCAATTCTGCCGCATAACAGATAAATGTTATGGCAAGGCTATGTTATGAAGAACTTTCCATACTGAATATTGACAAAAGCCACGTGGTAGGTGTGCACAGTCAGGCGTATTTCTAGGGTTGTCAGATAGAAAACTCAACCTAGAAACTGCACAAATGTCAAAAAACGATCTTAGATAACAGAGTCTTTCTGACCCAGCTTCATAACATACAAATGACGTAGCAGTTTATGTGTAAAACGCTTGAATGCACAGGAAATAAATGACATTTTGACAGTATTCAGTATGATTCAATAGCATAATGTTGGGAAGTTTGAGCGTAACATGGCCTTGCCATAACATTGGTCTGTTGTGCGGCAGAATCGACCCATTGGTTTCATAGATGGATCTATTATTCCAATTAACTATAAAATTATAATGAAAAAAACTTTTATATTTTTTTTTTTAGACTGATATTCTTTACATCTCTATAATTTATATATTTACTATGTCTTACCTTATTAGCAATTTCTACAGTGGTATCAACAAGCTGCCGATAATTCCTCCTGTCCAGGGCCATTCTGTGATTCCAGAAATGTTTGAAAAAATGTGGTAAGATTTCATCTTTTATATAACTTGCTTCCACACCATCGGTACCACAACATTGTTTCACCACCTGTGATAAAAGACAAAAAATGAATAATTAGAAATTATTTAATCAAATGTAACCTAAACCTACAATGCAATTTTAAAAGAATAGAGTTTGCATAAATGACTAAATAAATAGATACTAATGAAATGATAAAAAAATGATAATGGGTAGTACTGCCCTAGGGCAGGTCTGTGAGCCGAGTTAAACTCTAACTCGATTCAGGAAAGAAGTATTGTAAGAGCTTTTTAATTTCCATATCACAACGCTGTGAAATAAAATGATATATATAACCAATTCTAGAATATATTCCGAATAAAAATATCTTTATACTAGACTTGCACCGAATATTCAGTATTCAACATATTAGTCACCTTTTAAAGAAATCTTTAATATTCAAAGAACGATTCAGGAAAGAAGTATTGTAAAAGTTTTTCCCATTTCCATTTCACACCGCAGTGAAATAAAATGATATATATAACCAATTCTAGAATATATTCCAATTAAAAATATCTATATACATACTAGACTTGCAACAAATATTCGGTATTCAACATATTTGTCACCTTTTGAAGAATTCTTTACTTAATATTCAAAGAACACGTTATTGTTATATTGTTTATATTATTTAATAAGAATCATTCAATGGTTACATGTATGTGTTGTATCTATATTGAATAAAGTCATTCATTATAATCAATCTAAGCATCTAAATAAAGAGATATCATAGCCTCTTTATCACAAAACTATTAATATTTTTGGTCAGTTTTTATTTATTTTATTATGTTTATAATAGAAAATATTACATGTTTATGAAAGAAATAGTTGGAAATACATTTATATATGTAAAGAATCGTTTTTTGATTTATTTCCCTTCCACATATGTTATTTAGGTATTCGGTATTTGGCTGAATAGCATAAATGGTGCAAAAATTTTCCAAATAAGAAAGAGTAACCGAATAGATGATGCAAGTCTAGGTATAACACTTGTTAAAGTGTTAGTAATATAACAACTGTGAATAGTAATTACATTAATACGAATGACTCTAGGCGTCAAAAACCTGCCGAATATTCGGTAATAGGTCTCTGGACATGCCGAATATTCGGTATTCGGCATTTTGCCCAATATACTATTCGTTAGAAGCCTACCATATACTTTGTATAATTTTATTTATTTTGTCATTTTCTGTTATCCTTTATCTATCATACCTTCAAGACAATCTTCTTCATTTCCTCGTCAGGACTCTGAAACTCTCTGATCAGGATCAACATTACTTCCCTGGTGTAGTAGTTGGCATATTCAGCATCCATCAAGGGAATCAAATAACCGATAGCTTTCAAGAAGGCGGCGAGACCTTTACCTCTGTAAAAAAACAGAAATAATAGAAAAAAGGTGGTTCATAGAACTTTAGATAAAATGTTGCAGTTATAAAATAAATGGATAATAAAAAGACTTAATAAAAGTGAAACATTAATGTAAGTTTTAATTCTTTGGGTACAATAAAGATATTTTATGTTAAAATTGTGTATGAATTTATTACATTTTTTTTCTTCTGAATTATAATTATATTGATTTTACCTGTGTGTTCTGATACCCTTCCACAACGGTTTGAGAACAGAATCGAAACTTTCAATACCGTAAGGTGTAGCAGCTTCAGCCAATGCAGCAATAGCCAAAGCAGTAATGGTTCGTACTTTTTGTTGATCATCGACCAGGCCTGAAAAAAATTATATTTACATATTTATTGACAATAAAAAGAAATATTTAAAATATTTAAATGCAAAAAGCATTATATTTGATATTTGTAAATAATCAATTTGATTAACGAGTTTGAATTATGTATAAATATTTGAAACCAAAAAACTAAATCTCATTTCATGTCCATTATAAGAATGATATTCTATTCTATAAAAACTAAGAATTTATGATGGATTTTTGGCAAAAAAAACTGCGCTTATGCTAAATATAATGAAACTGCCTGGCCGATCATATGGCAAAACTAATCAAGTTTCAAATGAATTTGATGTATCTGACTTTGAGAAAATGCCAACAAAATGTCTGATCTTTATTTAAACAAGCACAAATACTTTTTGCAATTTCAGTGTCAAACTATCCAGAACGACTTGAAATGCTGAGACAACATCAATTTCTTATTCAGCAAGTTAATAAAGATTATATAATGTAAGTAAAATGATATATTCAGAAACTCCATAGAACCTTTTGACTATGAAGACAAACCATCATTTTCTTTTTTTTAATTTTTTAAATACTATATATTAAAATTTTAACTGGTACAAGTTCAAAATAAAAGTTTAAAAAATCATTTAAGAAACTGCGTCGCCGATCAGATGAACTTGGTGTTTCTGATTTTGAGAAAACGTCAACAAAACGTCTTTTTTTGTAATTTCAGTGTCAAACGATTCAGAACGACACGAAACGTTGAGAAAAATTAACTTCTCATTCAGCAAGTTAATAAAGCTTATATAGTGTAAGTATGATGATAAATTTAGAAACACCACAAAATGTTAATGGTAGATATTAATAAATAAATGTGGGCATCACGAGTGTTACCATAAACATTATTCAAAATTGTTATATGATGCATTTATTTTTAACTTAAATGCCATTTCATACAATAGCAAAAAAGTTTTACTTCAATCGCGTGTGAACCTTACGCGCACTCTTTTTTTATTATAAAAATCAATTATTCTTGTTATTCATTTACAGATATGAAAAAAATAATTTAAGTAATTTTTACTTACCGTGTTCTATAATTTCCACCAGAGACTTCAAATGTGGTAAAATAGCACAACCCATCAGGATGGCGATTTGCTGAACAATCTTGATACCAGTGTGTCGAGCTTGCCATGACTTTTTACTCCTGCACACGGCTTTCAAGAAAGGCAAGAGGGAAGGAATACCTAAACAAAAAATATCATTAATTGAAATTATATTAAATAAATATTTAATTAAAATATGAATAAACTAGAAAATCTTGGCAAACTCTATTAATCAATCAATCAATCAAATCAAATAATCAATTAATAGCTTACAAAATTTCTTCAAGATATTGATATTATATATTTCCTTTTCTATGATTATGTAGTTTAATTTTCCACCAATTAAATTCACAAAATTTATAACAAAAGTTTAATTTGAAGCTGGTGACTTTTTAGAAATATTTGATTAATAAAAATAATCAGACAAAAATTATATTCTGTTTTTTAAATTCAAAATGTTTTAGTATATTGAAACTGTAAAATAAATTAAATTAATCTCGGTTCATATATATCAGTAATTAAATTCTAATTTTTAATTATCTATTTCTACTAACCTAAGGCTGAAGCAACAACAGCAAAGGCTCGAGCAGTGGTATTACGAACGTACTCATCAATATTATCAATATCAGGCCTCATTGTTGAAATCATAGTAGCTAAACCTGCAGCCTTTGCCAAATTTGAAATAATCTCACGACCTTCAACACGAGCATAGTAATCTTCATCAATCAACAGAGGTTCAATGACGACCAAAATCTAGAGAAAATAATAATAAATATAAATAAATAAAAATTTGATATTGATAATAGCACAATAATATAATAATAGTATATATAATAATATAATATGTAAGTATAATAATATAATATAGTAATAGTATAATAATAGTATTATTATTGTTGTACTTACTTTGTGCACGTAAGGTCTGACCAAGTCGTCAAGTTTATATAAAATCCTGTCGATAACTTTGACCAGCAAATGTCTTTCTTGGTCTTCTAGAGTCGGACTCATAAGTAAGGGCAAAATCTGGTTGAATAAGGGTCCTGCACCAAATTCTCTGGCTTTGTCGGTAATCTAAAACACAAAATTGATAGTAAATATAAAAATTAATTGCCATAAATAAACAAAAATAAATAAATATAATTTACCATTATATAAATGAAAATTATTGTCATGGGTAAATAAATATAATTTACCAATAAATAAATGAAAATTATTTCCACAGATGTGAAATAAATAAATAAATAACTATTAACAATTATATTAATTCTTCAATACCATAAATTGAATATATTACCTGTCTCAAAGCTGCTTTTCTCATAGGCGGGGTACCATTTTTAATTTTAAGTAAAAGTTTCATGATTTTGCGTTCCTTTTGTTCTTCGGGACTCAAAGCTTCTTCATCAACATCAACCTGAAAAAGAATAAAAAAAAAAAAACATTAAGAATTAACATGTCCAGTTTCTTAATAAATAGTACATTGAGAGTAAAATATAATAATAGGGCCCTTATTAAATATTTTTTTAAATTTAGAATACAACTCTTAAAATGTGAGTTTTACTTTAAAATTTGAAAAGAAAAAGATCTTTTGTAGTTGAATCCCAACAGAGTTTTTTCTAAACAGTATCAATTTATTAAAATGAAGACATTTCATAATTCACCAGTTGCCAAATTAGAAATTTATAGAAAAAATTTTTTTAATTTAGTTTAATTTTTGTTTCGGGGTTCATTAATTTAAGTATTTATTGCAAACAGCAAATATATTTTATATAAGGATCACATTTTGATGTTGATAATCACAACCAGTTCAGTAACTACATTTTTGTAGAAATTATGTAAAACATCAGCAGAATTTATAAATGTTAAAAAACTTCTCTTTGATGTTTTGCTATTGAATATATATATTGAATATATAATATATATATATTGACTGCAGAACAATCTTTTTTTTATATTTATTATATATAAAATAATTCATTAATTATTATATAAATAAATACAATTCACTCTTTTTTTTGCTAGTAATTTATATTAATATTGCTCAGTGATGTAATATATTTATATATAAAATTTCAATATTTTGTAGAATATATATCTTTTATATATATATATATATATATATATATATATATATTAATATATTTAATATATATAAATATATATTATTAATAATAAAATATTTGTGTTATTTCCACACAAATAAACGAACTTAATACCCACAATTAATTTACAAAAGTCCAAAGTGACCACAATGAAATATATTTAAAAAAAAATTTGTTCTTTATAATCATCTATTATTATTATTCTTACCAAAAGTTTATCGAAGTACTGTGCATCTTCCGGTTTCATAAATGGTAAATTTCCTTTAGGTTGTGCATCGACTAAAGTTTGTGAGGCCTGCCGATCTTCTTGCTGGATGAAGAAACCGTGAGGAGTTGCACCTCCCAATGGGGTTGGTGTTGCTGTTAGTTTTCTGGCTGGTGTTCTTATCGGGATATAACCTAAAGATAAAAGATAGGTATGTAAAATATAATATATTAAACTACTCTCTTCAGAAACGCCATTAAAATAATAAGTGATAAAATGTAATTTTGTGTAAGTAAACAAACATATTTTCTGCTTTCATTTCATACCAGGATGGGAAAATAACTTATGTTAATAATATTTAATATAAATATTATGAAAGTTAATAAAAACAAATTTACCCAAAAACAAATTGATTTAATTATAATAATCAATAAACTCAAGTTTATATAAATATTAGGGCAGGTTGATTTAAAGGTCAGAAATCATTTTAGAGACATCATATAAATCGACCCGCCCTAATATATATATTTTTATTTTACTATAATTCTTCCATTACCTGCTGGTGGTGGTAAAATTTTATATCCAACAGGAAAGAATGAATCCAATTCATCATCAGTGAACGGTCTGTTTCTCTCATCAATTTCTCTTTCCCAACGATAAGCCTGCAACTGTTCTGGTGTCATAGAAGCCAAGTGTCCTGGTGTGGGTGTAGCCATCACCATCGCTTTGTGACCAACTGGAGTTGTCTGAAATTATAGTTCCATGTAAGTTATTGAAGAATAAAATGTGTTATTTACTAGATGTTATTAGAAATGTCTTACCCCTCCTGGTGTTAATACAGGAGTCTGTTCCGGTAAGCATAGTAATAAATTGAAAAACAGATTTTTTATCAATAAAATTGTTTATAAAGCTTTAATTTTGTTGTTTGATGTATTATTGTTTAAAAAAAATTAATAAATTATATTCCTACCCCGCCTGGTGTCAACACAGGTGTGTGTCCAGCTCCTCCTCCAGGTGTCATGCTCGGCGTCATAGATGGAGTCATTGCAGGTGTCATGGATGGTGTCATAGCAGGTGTCATTGCTGCACTTGGTGTCTCATCCCATCTGGAACGTCTTTTGGAAGCTCCAGGAGTAGGCGTGTCCTGAATTATAACACCACCTCCTACATCTGATGACATGCGATCAGTCCTAGGAGTTTCTGCCCAACCACTGTTATGACCAGGAGTCTCTGAGGAAAGAAAAGAAAAATAATATAAAAACACACAAAAAACGAAGATTTTTATTATAAAGATTTTTATTATATTGATTATTATACCTCTTTCAGTCTTTGGTGTTTCATCCCATCTGTTCCTCCTGGATCTATCTCCATGACCAGGAGTCTCTGCACCTGCAGCACTTCCCAAATGTGTAGGTGTGGCTGCGGCTTGATGTGCAGGTGTAGCGTCCCAAATTCTTGTGCTTTGTCCAGGAGTTGCCCCCGGAGTCTCAGGATACGCTTTGTGACCTGGAGTTTCATCCCAACGATGATCAGCTGGAGTACGCTGGTAAAATAAGAAAGAGAAATTTATTATTTACAAATAGTATAATATGTTTTAACTATTTTTTTTCTACTTACATCTTCTCCCCAAGTGGGTGTAGGTGCACTGGAAGGTGTGGCCTCAACAGCTTTCTTCTTAGGTGCTGATGAAGATGCTGGAACAAATTGTTCATCGATTGTTTGATCCCATCTGCCTCTTTTACGTTGTGTGACACCCAAAGAATCACCATTGCTGCTGCTTGAGTGCTTTTGTAATGTACCATCTTTTGATTTTTCTGCTATCTTCTTACGTAACTAGATAAAACAGAAAAAAATGTTCTTATAAACTGTCATCTTACTACTGAAGTAAAACTTTTAGTGCTATTTCATAAAAAGGGAGAGTATATAGAAAGAGATAAAATGAGAATTGTCTAAAAATGTTGAGAATAGAAAGTGATAAAGTGAGAATGGTCTGATAATGTTGCAAATGGTCTGAAAAAGTAGTATATTATAATAGTAGTCTGAAAATGTTGCGCAAGTGGTATGAAAATGTTGTAGGTCGTCTGAAAATGTTGTAGACATTTGTAGGTCGTCTAAAAATGTTGCAAGGGGTCTAAAAATATTGCAAACGGTCAAAAAAAATGTTGCAAACGGTCAAAAAATGTTGCACACGGTCAAAAAATGTTGCAAATGGGTTGAAAATTTTGCTATTGGTCTGAAAATTGTTGCAAGTGGCCTGAAAATGCTGCAAGTGGCCTGAAAATGCTGCAAGTGGCCTAAAGATGCTGCAAACGGTCCAAAAAATGTTGTTCGTGGTCTGAAAATGTTGCAAGTGATCTAAAAATATTGCAAGTGGTCTGGAAATGTTGCAAGTGGTCTGAAGATTGTTGCAAGTGGTCTGAAAATTGTTGCAAGTGGCCTGAAAATGTTGCAAACGGTCCAAAAAATGTTGTACGTGGTCTGAAAAATGTTGCAAGTGGCCTGAAAATGTTGCAAACAGTCTAAAAAATGTTGCAAGTGGCCTGAAAATGATGCAAACGGTCCAAAAAATGTTGCAAACGGTCTAAAAAATGTTGCAAGTGGCCTGAAAATGTTGCAAACGGTCCAAAAAATGTTGCACGCGGCCTAAAAAAGTTGTACGCGGTCTGAAGAAACGTACGTGGATTAAAAACATTGTTGTACGTGGTCTAAAAATGTTGTACGTCGTCTAAAAATATTGTTAATGACCTAAAAATATTACTAGTAGCCTAAAAATGTTGCTAGTGGCCTAAAAGCGTTGTACGTGGTCTGTAGAAACGTTGTACGTGGTCTAAAATTATTGTTAGTGACCTAAAAATGTTGCTAGTGACCTATAAATGTCGTAGGTGGTTTGAAAACGTTGTAGATTATCTGAAAATCTTACAAATTGTATGAAAAAAATTGAAAATGGTCTCAAAACCTTGTATACTATCTAAAATCACTGTATACGTTGTAGACTATGCTAAAAATGACTAAAAAAAATATAGACTTTAGCCAGTTTATGTAAGTGATGTAAAAAATGTAAATTGACTACAATAAAAAGATTTAATATAATTATAGCAATGATCATTTTTATTATTGAAGTGAAACTTCTAATGCGAGTTCCAGGTTCCAGGTTACATTAAAAATTTTAACTTAAAAGTTTAACCTGGGGAAAGAAGTAAAAAGAGAAAGAGGAAAAATTGTCTAAAAATGTTGCAAATTATTTGTCTGAAAATTTTGCAGTTCAGATTGTTTAAAAATCTGTTTCCATCCTTTCATATTACCGTTTCTACATTATGAGGTTTCACTTCTTCCATAAAAACAGACACCATGCACAATTATTTTTTTATTATCAAAACTAACCTCAGATTCTTCTCCTTTGAGCATCTGCTCTCGCATAATTTCTGTATAGGTCCTGGACCCCACATCTGGAGTTTTTCCACCTGAAAATACAGTGAAACATCTACTTTAATTTAACTTCAATAATAAGTTTTAAATTCTTTCAAATTGTTGGAAAAAGTTCTTCTAAATTAATAGTTTAAAGTTAAATTTTAAATTGATTCTGCACTACAAAGATTTTAATCATCGAGAAATAAAAGTAGAACTCGATTGGTGAAATATAATGTGTTAAAATCTTTATACCAGAATCAAATTTAGATAAATGAAATATAAATGCATAGACTGGTTTGGTCAAAAAGATTAAAAATATGTTTATACATATAAAAGTTAGTTGTAAGCTCAAGGAGTGAGGGAAACATATATCATCCTCGACTGGTGCCTCTAATAACAAATCCTTTTCCAATCGTATAAATTTATATTCCATCCATCCCCATTTTTCAGTTTGGTACGTACGTGTTTGAAGTAATCATCTCCCAAAAATCACATAGTTGACACATTTTGTAAATCGTGTGACAAACCTAGAAAAAATCTGGCCAAATTAATACTTCTATAAACGCTTTCTTAACAGGCACACTTTTCATCATACACACCAATAAAATAAATGTACTTGTACTTGAAAAATGTAAGTGATAGTAAAGAGAAAGATGTTGCAACGATGATAAAAAAATACTTGGTAATAGAATGATTAAAATAACTCGCTAGTAAAAAGTTTATTGTTTGGTGAAAGTATATAAATTTTTTTTAAAAAAATCCTGGACTATAAAATTAAAAATAGTATCAAGTATCAATATATATTACTATTTTTATAATACTTTTGTATTATAATATTATCAATAGCTTTTTTTTTTACTTATTATTATAAAAATATAAACCTTATTGATCATTTTTGAAGTGAAACTTCTGATGCTACTCCTAAAGAGTTCCATTAAACGCCTGTTCTACAATATTGTAACTGGAATGTAATATATTTTAATTTTATCTGTTGAATGTTGCAAATTGTTTGTTTGTGAATGTTGTGAATAGTTTGTTTGTGAATGTTGTGAATAGTTTGTTTGTGAATGTTGTGAACTGTTTGTTTGTGAATGTTGTGAATAGTTTGTTTGTGAATGTTGTGAACTGTTTGTTTGTGAATGTTGTGTACTGTTTGTTTGTGAATGTTGTGAATTGTTTGTGAATGTTGTGAATTGTTTGTGATTGTGAATTGTTTGTGAATATTGTCCATTGTGGATGTTGTAAATTGTTTGCGAATGTTGTAAATTGTTTGCGAATGTTGTAAATTGTTTGCGAATGTTGTAAATTGTTTGCGAATGTTGTAAATTGTTTGCGAATGTTGTAAATTGTTTGCGAATTGTTGTAAATTGTTTGCGAATGTTGTAAATTGTTTGCGAATGTTGTAAATTGTTTGCGAATGTTGCAAATTGTTTGTGAATATTGCAAATTGTTTGTAAATGTTGCAAATTGTTTGTGAATGTTGTAAATTGTTTGTGAATGTTGCAAATTGTTTGTGAATGCTGCAAATTGCTTGTGAATGCTGTAAATTGCTTGTGAATGCTGTAAATTGTTTGTGAATGTTGTAAATTGTTTGTGAATGTTTTGTATAGATTTGAAAGAAAATGCTTCAAGATTATAAAATATTTTTACGGATTATAAAAACTAATAAAATTATATAAGTTTCTGCATGATTAAAACTAAATTAAGCCAAATAAAATTTTATAAAAAAAAAATGTTTCACTTATTGCAAATTTAATTATTCGTTTATTATTATATTAAAAGATATACAAAAAAAAAAAAAAAACAAATAATAAAAAATCTACTATATGGACAGTCAAACGCAAAATTGAGGGACAAAATTCAAAAAAGAGTCATGTCTTAAAATTGTTTAAAAATTAAAATTGTTAACTACACCCTTATTGCAAAATTTATGACCTTTATAGTAATTTAAATTAGAAATTTAGTATTGTATTAAATTAACTTAAAATTAAACGAGATTTTAAAAAAGTTTCCTGTAGAAACAATTAAACGACAATAAAAAGTTAAACTTATTTTAATTATTTGAAAGTTAATAAGTTAAATAAATGTTAATAAAAATCAAGTCTTAATTTTTAATATTCGTATTCGTATTAATAACAATACGAGTTCTTTAAATATCAACTTCAACCCCTACGCATTACGAAGTTTCACTTCAATCAACCGACATGCATTGACAACAGAATTAATTTTTTTTTAAATTTCGATCGATTTTTTACAAAACGTTGCAACAATCTTTCTCATTTTTGAACAACCATCAGTTGCTGTTGCCAATTGGCTATTTTTTAATGTTCGATGGAAGAGAGAAATAAATCTGTATCATATCGAGATGGAAATTATCATCGAGAATAGAAGGTAAATTTTTACTTATTCATATTAATTGAGTTAAAAAGTGGGTTAAACGTTACTGATGAATAAAAGTAAAAATATTAGATTATATTTGTATTTACTTATTCATATTAATGAAATGAACTAAATTTTAACACAATGGAGATCAAATCAAATCAAGCTAAATTCTGTCCTTATTCATATGAATCGAATGAGTTAAAAGTTATATTAAAGTGAAAAATTTCACCAATAACTCAATTTTAACTAATTAGAGTTCTGAAAAAAATTAAAAGTTAAATTTTTACTTATTCTTTTACTTATTGAATTTTCTTAAATTTACTGACAATATATTCTGTCTAGGAATTCTTGAATACTCTAATTTTCTCATGTATTATCTTTAGTTTATAATTTGCACACTATAGAATATATTGTATCATTGCCATGGGCGTTAAATAAATAAATATTAAATAAACGCATTTTGTCGAAGTTTATATTTTAATATATAAAAGCAACTTAATTTAAGAATTAGTTAGCAAGATATGTATCAATCGAATTAATATTATAAATTAAATCAAAGTACATATGGTCAAATCTAATTCTGATAGATAGTATCGTAGATTATCAAACTTGTTTCTAAAAATATTAAAACATCTATTGAAGTATTACAACACAAAATTCTACTATTTCCTCCCTGGTATGATACTGATCCCACAATTCTCTCTCCCAAAAAACATCTGCAAGAAATCAGAGTGTACAATATTATGTCTCTATATCAAATATTCCTGGACCTACTGTTTTATATTTAGTTCAAACTCCTCTATAGTTTAGTTCACTGATGATCTCCATTTCCTGTGGAAATTTTTATTCCACATTAGAAATTTTTTTAAAACTTGTAAATCTTTCTAATTTTGGAAGTTTTTTTTGGTTAAGGTTTATAATTTTATTAAATAGACTCATACATGCAACTATAATCGATCACCCGATGGAGCAAAGATACAATCTGGATAATAAAGGTATCGTTCACTTATTTATATATACATATATATACACACAGATATACACAATTATATACTAACATATTTTTAAATAATTGAATCTTCGATAATATATTTATCGTTCACACAAATTTATACATATACATACATACACACACCCAGGAGTAATATTTCTAATATTTGATCAAAAAAGAATCAATAGTCAATTGATTTATTGACTATTGATGATCAACTTATTGATAAAAATGAAGAAAAAATATTTAAGGATAAATTTTAATTTTGAAGAACTATTAAAAAATTAATATTCGATTTACATCAGCTACTGTTAGAAAAAATATACTGTGGCTACAAAAACCATTTTTGAAGTAAAACTTCTTCAGATGCGACTAGGGCGTAAATGAGAGAAAATGCAACGGAAGTAACGCACATTCAGAATGTATCGACTTGTACGGCAGCTATATGAATTACGAATTTACTAAAAAACGTAAAATTTCTGTTTTTTTTTTGAAAATTTAGGTAAAAAAATAAATGCACGTGATATCTAACTATCCCCTCCCTCCCTGAACAGCTCACTGGCCTTAAGGTAGAGTGCCACTTACACCTGTTTTTCATTAATGTTGAATACATACAGGTGTATCACATTAAACACTTGAGTGATTAAAAAATTCTTTATATAGTTTGTGTTTGTGTAAAATCAACAATAAAAGAATTCAGAGCATTTCTAAACAATGAAGAACAATTGATATTTTATTATGAAAACATTTCATTCAATGATGAAACAATAATCAATTATACGCAGTGGAAAAATACCAAAGAAGTTCAAGTTGGATATATAATTTTTGTTTTGAGATTAAAATTAAATAAATTTATATCAATCCATTCGAAATAAAGACATTTCATCTAAGATTTTTTTTAAGTAAAACTTCTTTAGGCGCGACTATGGAGAAAATCTGTACAAATGCAACGGAAAAGCGTTACGGCCTAGTCGAGTGGCAATGATTCGTCATTCGGTCTCGATGAGATCATTTTTATACGGGTCGATTATGATTGGTCGTCGTGTCGCATGAGTATGATTGTTTTGATTGTATAGTGAGAATAATAAAACAAATAAAAAATCTGACGTGTAAGAAACGTAAGTTTATTGAAGTAATTTGTATTATTCGTGGTACTATATATTTTTGAGGTTATTAAAATGAAAATTATTTTTATAGACAAGACAGATACTACAGCTGTTCAAATAATGAGACTGTATCGCCAGCGAAATAGTAAAAAAACAAGTAGTCAATGGATGTATGTTAATATTAAATTACATAAATACTCTTCAAACACAATTACATGATGAGTGAAATTGTGGAAACAATATTTATTTAGGCGTTGTTTAACATAATAATTCTCTGCATTTTTATAGATATTAAAAAATATTAAAGCAGTGCAGCTTTATTCTATTATACCGAAGATATATCTTATTATAATTTATATAATATAATAAAATCATTGTAAAAAAGAATGTTTCCATAAAATTCGTATTTCATATAGATTAAATAATGTAACAATTAGTTTATAAAATCCCTTTAAAAAAAATAGTAGAAAGAGTAGAAAGCATGGTGCCTGATACATATTTCATTTAGAACACCAGATCAAGTTTATATATTATAAAATCTTTGTAAAAAAATGTTTCCATAAAATTCGTATTTCACTTTGATTAAATAACGTAGCTATTATTTAAAAAAAAAATTAAAATTAAAAAAAGAAATTAGATCTGTTTGTCCCCTGGATGACCTTAGTATGCCCATAGGGCAAAAAAGAACAAATGACAAATTTTAGAAAAATAGTAGAAATAGTGGAAAAACATGGTGAGCCTGATAAATATTTCTTTTAGAACACCAGATCAAGTTTATATATGTATAATAAAATCTGTGTAAAAAAAAAAATTCCCATAAAATTCGTATTCCACATTGATTAAATAATGTAGCTATTATTTAAAAAAAAATTAAAATTAAAAAAGATGTTAGATCTGTTTGCCCTCTGGATGTTTTTCTTACCCTGCACATGGAGCAAAAAGAAACAAATGACAAACTTCAGAAAAATATTAGGAAAACATTGTGCTCGGCCATAATTGTATTTCTATTGGCAATGTATTTGGATTTGTAATTGTTATTTCGTCAACAGTTTTTTCAATAAAAAAAACTTGTCAAAAACTCAAAGACCTTTCGATAAATGATAATGATCCCACAAATTATACAACTATTCGTAAATAGTAAGAATTAATTTAAAATAAACAAAATAAATAAAAAAAAATCAAGAATTTTGTATAAAATAATATTTTAGACTTAATATAAGAAAATTCTTCAACTAATAATATACTCCAGTCTCCAGTCAATGGAGCGTTTTGGGTCCGAATTTTTTTTACTGTGCTCCAATTTTTATGAAATTCTGGAATTAGGTTCATCTTACTCTCAAGTTCAAAAGTGAAAATAATTTAGACTCCTTTGCCACTTCTCAAGGGGATGACATTACTTCTCACTAGTGTAATTTTTTTTCTTTTTTCAAAATGAAGTCGATAAAAGAATTATTTATAAGAGAATAATGTTTCACAATGTTTTTCAAAGAAGCAAATACTTTTCAAGTTACTGGCTACTAAAAATTCGTTTATTTTTGGTGTTTTTCATCATTTTTTGCAAAAATCTCCAAAAATATACATTTTAACAAAAATCTTGCAGTAAACCAAATTCTGACAATTAAAATATTAATAAATCCGTGTTTAATAAAGTGTTCTAGAAACAATATTAAGCTTTAAATCTTTCAAGATTTAATTGTTGTATTCAAAGCCATCTAGCGGCGAGGTGGTACATTTTATGCATTCCAGTGAAATGGAGTTTTATAGTGCTCAAAATAAGCTTAAAATGAGTACTGACAAGGGTCCCTTGCGTGTAAAATGAGTGAGCTATCATGCAAATACAAGACACATACAATGTTCTTTTCATTTAAATCAAATGATTTCATGCGTGCCATTTCCAGTAAAATTAAAATAAATCGTATTCCATCTAGAATTATCTTGGTTCAAGAGATCTTGATGTATTCTAGAAAATACCACAACTTTAGTAAAAACGATTTTCAAAAAGCTCATGATTTCATGAAAAAAAAATCAATTTAAATCTTATATCTCTGAAATATCTAAATATTATATCTCTTTAAAAAAAATATGTATAAAGGTATATAGATGAAAATTTAAGGTCTTTTCTGGCTAATTATTGTTTTTCAATTTTTTCTGCTACACAAATATTGATAGAGTTATGATTGTTTAAAGAGTGCGCAAATTGTCTTCACTTTTGAACTTAAGAATAAGATTATCCTATTTCCAAAATTTCATGCAAATCGGAACACAGTAAAAAAAACTCAGAGGTTACACCCTTTTTTCCTCTCCATTTACTGTACTGATAAGAACAAAATCTTAATGGTTCTCACATCCATACCCTTTCATACACATTTACTCTAGCCAGTCCAATCCAATATCATAAACAATTATTCAATAAAGTTATTTGTTAATAATAAACTATACATATAATAATTAAATGTAGGTTTAAAAGAAACTGAACAAAATTCATGTACAAACCTTCTGCAAACGGATCATTTCGCTCTGGAGATATGATCATACGTCTTCGCTTTTGTCTATATTCATCTTCCCTATCAGCTATGGTGGGTCTACGTCTGTCAGCAAAGGGATCATAGTCTTTTTCACTCTAAAAAATAAAAAAAACAATTGTAATAAACCAAGTATGTACAAACAAGTATCCTTTACTTTTTATCTTACCTGTGCAACATCATTAAGCAAAGCAACAGGTGCTGTATAGCCTGGTCTTTTATTTTGAAATGGTGCTGGTTCATAATCCTCATCTTCCACCTCGTCATTTGCAGCAATTGAGGTTACATATCCCGAATATTTAGTACTTTGTTTGCTGCTCTCGTAGATATCAGTATCGAAATAGCCTGTGTCTGTTAAACCTACACCATTGTCATTTGATTCGGCTAATTGGACTTTCTTTTTGGCCTGGATATCTTTTATTTGGGCCTCGATATCTAAAATAAGAGGAAAAGATTAATAAGGAGTTAACATATGTAACATTATATTGGGATCAATACCGATCCTGATTGCTATTGCTTAGGTAGAGTGACTAGGGCGGATGCTGAGCACGCCAATATGGAGTGCAAAAATGGGAAAAATAAGACAAAATAAGATAAAATAAAAAATAAAGAAATTATAAATAATAAATAAGGAAAAATAAAAAAATGGGATAAATCGATAGAGATAGAAAGTGAGAAAGAGATTAAGATAGATAGAGAGCAAGTTATACATAGATAGAGAGAAAGTATCTTATAATAGAAAATAATATATTCATTATTAAATAGATAGATAGAATTAGATGTATAACAAAATAAAGCATAGATAGATAAATATATAGTTAAAAATAGATAAAAGGTTTGAAAGGGATTCGATCCTAATTGCTATTGCTTGGGTGGAGCGACTTGAGCGGATGCTGAGCACGTCATTATGGTGTGCAAAAAATGGGAATAGGGAGGGAGATAGTAAGGCAAAAAATCTTCCTCCCAACTTATTTTATAACATGGTGCACTATATAACTATATACAACCAAATAAAGTAAAATTGTAAAGATATCTTATAAAATGTATATAACTAATGTACGTGTCAACAAGTAAACAACAAATAAATATTAGTTCCTTTTTCTTTACAGTTCATGTATCGTTTATAAAATTCTAATAGTATTTTATTTGTCGATATAAATTAATAGTAAATATTTTTCAATTGTACTTTGTTTATATATTATAGTTTTATTAAGTTTTAATGCAAAAATATTTTTTTAATTTTTAAATCAATTTCTATTCCTATTTGAATCTATATTCAGTATATGTATTTATTAATTTTCCAAGCCTCAAGTATAATGATACCATTATAACGATTTATATATATGAAGTGTTTGATAGATTAGAACAGTTTGATAATTATTTGAAATATTTTTTTTTGAATTGAATATTTATTTATGAATCATTTTTTTATTATTATTATTTTTTTAATATTATTTAATTTATTAGTATTTTAAAATATAAGTATGTTGTTTAATAAATTTATAAGTATGTTTATGATATTAGACAAAGTATTATTACGATATAAAGATTCAGTTCAACAAATTCTGATGTATTTTTATAATTCAAGTATTTTTATGATGCAAGTTTGCAATACAAGTATTTTGTTTAACAAATTTAAAAGTTTTCTTTATAACATAAGTATTTTATTTAACAAATTTATAAATATTTTTGCAATAAGTATTTTGTTTAACAAGTTTATAAATATTTTTGCAATATAAGTATTTTGTTTAATAAATTTATAGGTATTTTTGCAGTATAAGTGTTTTGTTTAACAAATTTAACAATATTTTTACAATGTAAGTATTTTTTCAATAGAAGTATTTTGTTTAACAAATTTAACAGTATTTTTATTATGTAAGTATATTGTTTAACAAATTTATAAATATTTTTGCAATATAAATATTTTGTTTAACAAATTTATAAATAGTTTTGCAATATAAATATTTTGTTTAACAAATTTATAAATATTTATGCAATGTAAGTATTTTGTCTAATAAATTTATAAATATTTTTGCAATAAAAGTATTTTGTTTAACAAATTCATAAGTATTTTTGCAATATAAGTATTTTGTTAAACAAATTTAATAATAGTTTTATAATGTAAGTATTTTGTTTAACAAATGCATGAGTATTTTGTTGAACTAATTTAACAGTGTTTTTATGATGTAAGTATTTTGTTTAACAACTTTATAAATATTTTTATGATGTAAGTATTTTGTTTAACAAGTTTATAAGTATTTTTGCAATATAATTGTTTTGTTTGACAAATTCATAAGTATTTTTGCAATAGAAGTATTTTGTTGAACAAATTTAATAGCATTTTTATAATATAAGTATTTTATTTAACAGTTTTATAAATATTTTTGCAATATAAGTATTTTGTTCGACAAATTTACCAATATTTTTATAATGTAAGTATTTTGTTTAACAAATTTAACAGTATTTTAATTATATCAGTATTTTGTTTAACAAATTTAACAGCATTTTTATGATATAAGTATTTTGTTTAGCAACTATATATTATAGTTTTATTAAGTTTTAATTCAAAATTTAGGCAGAGAATTTAACACATAAATTAGTTAAATAAATGCCAAAAATATCCAATTAAATCTGATATAAATTCATTCTGATTGGGACATAATTTAGGAACTAAACATGAATAATCTGAAAATTGATATATTCGGCAGAAAGAGTTGAAGCAAGTACTTAATGGTATAATATTGAAAGCTCAATAAGTTCATCATTCATTAAATAGATGACATGAATAATAAATTGAATCGGATATAAATTATTCTTAATTGGATATAATTTATGAACTAAACATCAATAATCTGAGAATTGATGTATCCACAAAAAGAATTGAGACAGGTACTTAATGGTTTAACATCGAAGGCTCAATAAGTTCATCATTCCATATTTAAGATATAAAAACATCACTGTTGATTCATAAATGTTGATTTTCAGCCAATCGTCAAAATAAAATAAAAGAACAAATAATGAAATATTTATTTATGTTTCAACACTGTTTTGTGTTATCATTCAGCAATTTTTTATGTTTTACAATATCTAAAAGAATTTTCACAAAGTTTAAAAAAAAGGTTAAATTTAAAATATATTATAGATTAAAAAATAACAAGTAAAAAATTGATACATACCACGCCAGGAAAAATAATGGTTAATATTAATCTAATTAAAAGTTTAAGAGAATTTAATCATCAATAACTTAGATTAATACCAAATCTACATTATATAATACCAAATCTTAGTATAATCCCAAAAATATGAATGAAAGTCGTAGATTGTAGGATTTGGCAACCCCATATTCAAAAAATCAAAGCTGTGAAAAAATGTATTGATTTAGAATAATTTTCATCGAAGCCAAAGTTTCAAAAAGTTTGATTAATTATGAAGTTACATTTAAAATGTAGTTTGAATGTTACTATATAGAATATAAATAAATGTTTTGAAACTCAGTGATAGCACATATGTTATATGGCTTAGAATAATTTTCATTTAATAAGAAGTTTTAAAAAATGTGTTTAGTTAATTTAGTTGATGTATTCAGCAAAAAAAAAAATGAGACAGGTACTCGATTTAGTATTGAAGGCTCGATAAGTTCAACATTCCATATTTAAGATATAAAAACATCACTTTATATAGGTCTCTTCTGGATTTTGCTATAACAATCAATACTATTGGATTTCATTTAAGCATACATTATATTTTCAATATAAAATTGTACTGATTATTCAGGAAAACTAATCTTTGAAAAAATGCATTGATTTAGGAAGTTTCATCAAAATCGAAGTTTCAAAAATTTTGATTAAAGTTGGAATAACATTTGAATGTTATTATAAAAAATGTAAACAAATGTTTTGAAACTCTGTCGTTGTTGAATTGCAACTTTGAAAATAAACACTGACTCAGAATAATTTTCATGTAATAAGAAGTTTTAGAGAATTTATTTAGTTGAGTTATATTTAAGTCAGTGTTAATAATTACCTAGAAACATATTATATTTTTATTGGAATTATATTTTTACAAATTATGTCAAGTTTTTTGGATCTACTCTGAGGGCTTTGTAATAAAGTAAATAAATAAATACGTTCATTAAAATTATGGATGTTCAGTTATATATATTTGAACACAAAATCTATTTAAAATGTGAATTTGTAACAAATAACTAAAAAGTTCTGAAATTTTAACTCCATTTCAGATGCATGTCATATCTATAAAAACCTTTTGTATAAAGGTAAAATAATTAAAACCATATATATTAACAGCTATTGCATTAAAAAATGCATTCATTCAAGTATAAAATTATCAATAAATCCACCAAAGTTACTGGATAAATCAATCAAAAATTTTCCTTAAAATCACAAAAATTTTGACATAAGCAAAAATGGACATGGGACTATTTTTTTTCTTACCTTCGTGTGTCCTTGGTATACTATCCATTTTTAAATCTATAGCACAATTTTATTTTTATTTAACCATACAATCACTGTTTATTCTATTTACACATTTATTTTATTTTAATTGTTTATTTTACATAAACTAAAAATGCTACTGCGACAATCCACACTTCAATCGATATATTTCAAGATGGCGGCTGATTTTTGTATAGATGGAAATTGTTATCTATGGATGAAAATTTTGATTAAATTTGGGGATAGTTAAATTATATTAATATTTTTATGAATAATTATTTATATTATAAATATTTATTTATTGAAGTACTATTTTTAGTCATCCGTAGAAGGGTTTTTTGTTTTGGATAAAAAATCCGTTTTCTTGACGTTTCTAGTCGTACTTAATCTGTTAAGACCATAGACAAAAATTCGAAAAAGTGCATGTTTTGTAAAATAATTACCAAGTTAAAATTATTTATTTAAATTTAAATAAAAATAAAATTAATTATTTATATAAGTGATCTTCAGAACTTTGGTCAGAATTAAAATTAAAATCTGAATTATTTTCGATATACAAAAAAAATTTTTTTGAAAAAAAATTGGACAAAAAAATTTTTGTCTAAAAGCAATTACTTTGTCAAAACAAACACAAAGTTTATTGAATTATTCAAATCGGTTGCTTAGTTTTCTCAAAAACTGCCTTTTTGTACATTTAGCAAAATTTGTTAGAATTAGCAGAAAAGTTCGAATTTTTTCATCCACATTTTTGCAAAAACTCCTGAACCGATTTTGAAAATTTAAGAACCGTTTGAAAAAAAAAATCAGTTGAAAATCGGTTATGATTAGTGTTTACTATATATCTCCCAGACGTTTTTAATGAAACATATATGAAAAGATCTTTTCAATATGATTATTCAAAAATACTTGGATTTCATTCTAGCATTTCGTTAAACAACCCATTTATTAATAAATATGAATATATATTATTATTTATGTTACAATTCAATAATTTTTATCTATTCCTTACTACATATATTTTTACCTTTGATTGTTTTATCTTCTTATCAAAATCATGTTTTTCACAGATGTCCTGAAGAAGGAACAAATATAGTTTCAAACATAGATAAACATGTATGCTGCCAAAACATAGACAATAATTTTATTTCTAAAAAAAACTCTTTGGTTTTTTATTACCATTAGATTCCTTGTTCAAAACTCCATACAACTTTTTTTTTCTTCTAAATTTATTTCAAGAATTTATTTTACAATCTACACATTTTGGCTAAAGTCCTAGCCTTTATCAGCAGAAACTAAAAATAAAATTTAAAAACTAAAAATATTGATATTGAAAAACTATAAAACCAATAAATACTTACAATTTGCTAATCTTAGTGTTAAAAACAGAAAATTCGATAATTCATGGTATGTGAACGTACTACATCACCATTTAATACAAACTATGTTAGAAGAACTTTCTATACTAAATATTGGCAAAATCCATGAGGTTGCTGTGCAGTCAGGCGTTTTTCTCAGGTCGTCAGAAAGAAAACTTGACCTAGAAACCGCACAAATGTTAACAAACGATCTTAGATAACAGGGTCTTTCTGACCCAGCTTCATAACATTCGAGTGATGTTGCAGTTTATGTGTAAAACGCCTGAATTCACAGCAAATACATGACATTTTAACAATATTCAGTAGCATTGTATGGCGATTGTTTAAAAAAAATATTCAAAATTTTCAAAATAAATTTTTCAAAAATCTATTTTTTTTTCAAAGTTTTTTAATAATTTAGTTTTCAGTACGGAAAGTTCCAACAATTTGCCTTAAGGCACGATGTCATGCAGCACTCAGTCCTTTTTTTCACGATTACTATAATTTACCATACGGACATTTACCTTTTTTTAAAAAATGTATTAAAGTGTGTGCAGAAAGTTTCATCAAAAGTTGGCGCATTTAATCAATATTGTCATAACAAAATTGTCAATTTTATTTTTTCACGAAATAGCTTTGATACAATTTTATAAAAAAAATATCTTCAGTAAAAAAAACTTATACATTGAAACTCTACATTTAATTTTATTACTCTTTTTAGTTGCCAAATCGATTAACGCCACCAATCACATCGAAACTGTAACATTACTGATGATTTATATTTTATTGCTATATTTTGAGAAAAAGAAAGAAGAAACCTCAATCGGTGCAAAACTTTGAGAATAGTTCGTAGTTAGAAATTGGTAGATTCGCAAATCTTTAACGTCGATTGGAGAGATCACAGGCTGATCTAGAGTCTGTATAAGGGATAGAAAGTAAAGTTTCGAGTGAACCAGGGAGATACAAACTGCGTTGAAATCGGTAGAGGAGTGCAGCAAGAATGCTGCACGTCACCGATCCTATTCAGCCTGTAGGGAGAATGGCTCGTCAACGATGCACTTACAGACGCAGGAGATTTTTCTATTGGAGGAAGAAGAATCACTACCATAAATTAAGCTGATGATCTGGTGGTGATATCGAAAAACCAAACCGAGCTCCAGAACATGATGAGCGGAATCGTTGAAGGGGGTAAAAGAAACGCAATGGAAAGCTACATCGACAAGACGAAAGTGATGAGAATCACAAAACGAGATGATCCTCTGAAGATAACAGTAAGAAATCGAAAATTGGAGGAAGTGGATCATTTCAAATATCTGGGAAGCATCCTGACCAGAGACGGATACTGCACGAGAGAGATCAGGACAAGGATCGCAAGCGCCAAGACGTCATTCACTAAGAAGAGAACGCTACTGACGAGCAAACTTATTAGACTCGACTTGCGGAAGAGACCAATAAAGTGCTATATCTGCAGCATCGCTCCAAAATTTGTCCCCAACTCAAAGATATCAGAATTCCAACTATAAAAGAAAAAAATAATCATTACTGCTCCAGATACAAAGCTCGTCATCCAAACCAGTTAGCGTGGGACCTGCTCAAGCCTTTACCGCCAAAGCGTCTCAAAAAAAGAATCTGCAATGATTTACTACAAAATATCACATAACATCTAGGAAGGTGCTATCGCAGAATAGCGATCCTTCTCACGCAGTCAAATAATATATCTGTAAATTAGCTGTGTGTAATGTACTGCGTGTATTGTTTGCTAAGTACAATAAAAAAAAATATCTGCAGCATAGCTCTGGACGGATCAGAGCCATGGACTCTAAGAAAGGCCGGCAAGAACTACATGGAAAGTTTTCAAATGTGGTGCTGGATGCGGATGGAGAAGTGGACAGACATAATAACAAATGAAGTGGTCCTAAGAAGAGTGGGCGAAGAAAGGACTCTACTGATTACATCCTGCAAAGAAAAAGAAACTGGATCGGATCCCTTCTGCAAAGAGTGCCTCCTGCAAGACGTCGTCGAGGGTAAAACAGAAAAACTGAAAGGAATGGGGAGAAGAAAAATGCAAATGATTGACGACTTATGGGAGAAGAAAAAATACAGGGAACTGAAAGCCGAAGCGCAGGATCAAGAAGCATGGAAGCAAAAGTTTGGAAACGAAAATATATGAAAAACAGGGGGGGGGGTTGTAATAGTAATGGAAATGATAGATGACAAAGGACAAGAAAATCATGTATTGTGGTGACCTTAACGCCATGGAACTGCCTTCGGACGGACTACCATTTATTATTATAATTATATGTATGATGTATCCATCCATCAAATATAAATTCATATTTTAAAACTCATAATTTCATTATGTTCTGTGAAAATTTTATTACTCATACAAATTTTATATAATTTTACATAATAATAAGCCAAAGCTTCCACAGAAATATAATGAATAATTACATACTAATTTTGGTACAAAATTGAATGTAGATGAAAATGATACAATCAAGAATATATAAACAAAGTATATATATATATAAACATCTAAGAATATTTCTCTAAACTGATTCAAGAAAGATAACTTGGGGTGGCCTCGTAGCGTCTTTGAATCTGATCATAAGTAAATTTAACAAAAGCATCATATTGCTCAGCCAGCTTTGCAGTCAGCACCCGATCATATTGTTCACGAAGCTCAATCTCTCTCTCGCGCAGCATCTTTTCGCAAATCATACCAACCTGCTTAAAGGTGAACAGAGCCTTATCTGGATTTTTACCATAATTTGGTCTCATGTTCAGATCATTGTTTTGTATGCCAATTTCACTGTTTTGACTTTCTGGACTTGGCACTGGAGACATATTCATCATGCAGCTCTCTGAACCAGAGCTGGACCCTGCTGAATCTTCATGATGTTCTAATTCCGAATTCATTTGACTGTGATTGAAATTCAATTGTTTGCGTTTATGCAAGCGACGTATTTCTTCGCGAATATTAGCAGCCATTTTTTCTGGAGTTAATTTGCTATCAATTTCTCCAAATGGTGAAGGCTTAGGTTCAACCACTTTCATATTAGCATTATGGCTGGAAGGAGGAGGCGTTCCGTAGGGGTTGCAACGACGACGCTTTGGTGGACGCTGATTCAGGGGTGATTCCCAATCCGACGATCTTTTAAGGGTTGCGCACGCCATTATTCTATAATATAATACTTCTAGACTCTTACACGAAACAGAAGAATAGTTATGATCTAACTTAGAGCTGTGAGATGCCTTCTCTCAATTTTCTTTATCCACACACATGAGAACTCTTATTTGGCATTTGTAATTTCAAAAACCTCTTTTTGTTTCACGTTTTTAGTTATCTTATTATTGACTTTTCAGCAGCAAATGTAATAAATTCGAAGTATTTTTAAAATGACAAAAAAATCCAATATGGCCAAACAATTATACAAAACGCCTTCTTGTGCTGCTCTATGTGTCCATTCCGAATACAATCACTACAATAATTAATAAATTGAAAATCAGTGAATTCACATATCAGCATTGAGACATTTAATTATATGTCTGTCATAGTACAGATAACCCTCATATAACACAGTACTTTTATAACACGGTTTAAGGGGTCAGGGGTACTCAGAATTTGTAAAACTCAATTTTTGTTTTTTTAACTTCCCGTAGCGTAAGTTCTAGTAATCGCAAAAAATGACTAGTGGGGTGCATGGCATCGTGACTTAAGGTAATTGCTGAAACTTCCCGTACCGTAATTAAAAATCTTGGTACGGAACCCAAAAAAAAGAATTACACAAAATGTGTACACATTTTTAAAATCTCTATAAAATATCTGATAATTTGATGTGCATATGTCCAATAAACATTTTTGACCGTCAAATGACATTTTTTTTAGAGTCCATTACCGCTAGACCTGTCTTCCCAAAAAATTTAATCAGTTCTTCATCTTGTCAATACAAGTAACATGTTTTTTGAATTAAAATCGGACGCTCCGTTCTCTTAAAAACTGAGTTAGCGTTTTTGGCACTTTTGACCCGTATCCTCGGAACGGCTAGACCTGCCTTCGCCAAAAACTAATCAGCACGTCTCCTTATCAATACAATTTGAATGCTTTTTGAATTATTCAAATCGGTTGATCGGTGTTCCCGAAATCGTCGACGAAAATTTGTATCCGCACACACACACACATACATACATTTTTTCTAAGGCATGCCAAAATGTTCAAAAACCTCTCAAACGTAAAGATATATAAAAATTTTAATTTTTAATTTTTTTGCGATTACTATTACTTATCCTACAGGAAGTTAATAAACAATGCTCATTAGATAGTATTTTTAAACGCATCGTGCCTTAAAGCAAATTGCTGGTACTTCCCGTAACGTAATTAAACATTCGAAGAATAAAAAAATCAGTCAACAAAAATGTCTATGAATGAGTATTATAAAAACTAAAATTTTCATTATTTGTTCCTTGTGAAAACTTATTGGATTAGAATATATATGTTTGAATCAAATATATAAACAAAATTTAATTAAGCGGACTTATTGTTAGAATGAACATATTTTATTTCAAATGCATCAATTTTTCGTTCGCAAAATATATGCATTGAGTTAACAATTTTAAATAGTTTTTACAGTATCAACAATACAAACATAAAAAGTATTAAAAATGAGATTGTAACGCGGCGCTTACGCGTTTCGATATTTTCGATATTCAAAATATTTCAAAATATAACATTTTTTTTTTCAAAAATCTAATTTTTTCAAAGTTTCAAAACAATTTAATCTTTTTTAAAGAACTTAATTTTTAGTCTGAAAAGTTCCAGCAATTTGCCTTCAGGCACAATGCCATACACCACTAGTTTGCAAAAAATAATGCACAGATCTGAAGGAATGAAGATATGCAAAAGAAAGGATTGCGTTGGATAGCACTTACTAGTATATTAGTTCATATAAAAATTAATAACTATAACAATATTTATTATAAAATCATATTATCAAATATCAATTATAAAATACAGTTATGGTTATTAATTTTCACAAGAAGTAATATTCATTACATGAATTATGATTTTTTTCATCATAACTAACAAGTAAGTGTTATCCAACGCATTTCATTTTTTGCATTATATCTATATCTTCTGAGCAGTTCCATGCATTATTTTTTGCAAAAAAAAATTTTTGCAATTATTTGCTTCTAGTAAAATGGTATTCATAGCATAGTGGCATGTTTTTTTGAATTCTTGGAACGTAACCCCTCTTTTGTACTAGTTCGCATAACATACTAGTTTTTTGGAACATAACTACCGTGTTATACAGAGGTTACCTGTATTATCATTGCAATAGTAAATAAAAAATATAAAAATCAAAACTTACCTGATAAAGATTTTCAGATAATTGCACAAATACACCTACTGACAAAATGCAATCTTCTAATATTGTTTGATAACAGCACTGTAATAAAAATAACAAGATTATTACCCAGAAAATGGTTATTGAATTAATGATTATTGAATTAAAAATCAGTAAAATCATGTATCAACATTGAGACATTTAGTTATATGCTTGCCATAGTATCATCATTGAAATAGTAAATCAAAAACATAAAAATTAAAACTTACCTGATGAAGATATTCAGATAATGGCACAAATACACCTGGCTGGCAAAATGCAATCTTCTAATCTATTTTGGTAACAGCACTGAAATAAAAATAACATCATTATCCGGCATGTTTATTGAATTAATGTGTAATAAATAATAAAGGAAATATTATAGTGTATAATATAATAATATTAACTATTATTATAATAGTCATGATAGTCATGAATAGAATCATGTTAGCAAGTATACGTAATGAAACATATAAATGTGAAACTATGTATAAATTGTGTATGGCATTGTGCCTTAAGGCAAATTTGCAGGAACTTCCCGTACCGTAACGAAATATTCGAGGAATATTAAATGTTTTCAATTAGATTATTATGAATACTATAACATTGTTTAATATTTATAAGAATTATATAAACTAAATTACAAAGTTAAAATTATTTATTTAAAGTATATAAGTAAGCTTTAGAACTTTAGCCAGAATTAAAATTAAAATCTGAATCATTTTCAATATAAAAAAAAAATTTCTTCCAAAACCAATTGTTTTGTCAACACAAGCAGAAATATTTTTGAATTATTCATTGCGGATGCTTATTTCTCTCAAAAACTGTCATTTTTTGTATATTTAGCTCTGTATCTTCGAAATGGCTAGGCCTGCCTTTGCCAAAAACTAATAACTACTTCTCCCAATCATTACAAATTGAATGTTTTTTAGATCATTCAAATCGGAAACTCCGTTCTCTCAAAAACTCGATTTGTATTTTCTGCGCCCTCTGCTCCGTATCTCCGTAACGGCTGAACCTGCCTTTGCCAAAAACTAATCAGCACATCTCCCTATCAATAGGAATCGAATGTTTTTTGAACCATTCAAATCGGTTGATCCGTGCGCACGAAAACGTGGTCGAAAAATCGTGGACATACAAAACACACACACACATCCATTTTTTCTGAGGTATGTCAAAATGTTCAGAAAACTTCAAAACTTCGATAAATGCAAAAATTTTCATTTTCGATTTTCGGCCCATTACTATAACTACCCTACGGGAAGTTAAAAAAGCGACGTCCATTAGATTTTATTAAATATACAATAAATATGCCATGAGTAACTTACAAGCCTATAACCTAAATGGTTGACAGCGCAGGTAAAGTTTGAAAAAACACGAGACACAATTTATGTATATAAATATCTAAAATTTAAAATTAATCGGTGCGTGAGCACAAATATTAACGAAACTTTTTGATAATAACTGAGAAAAAGTTAATATTTATAAAATAAGTTTAACTTACATCAAGCTTGATACCATTGTATTATTGTTTAGGCTTGACACCATCTTGACATATTTGTTCGCAAGCAACCAACATTATCATACAAAAACCAATGTTGCCAAATCTACCTACAATTAATTTCGTTCTGGATGTCCCTTGAAAATATAATAATGCTGGATGTCTTTGCGCCATTGTTAACAGATTTGATAATCAAAATATTAAAATTTGAGATTAGTTGTTAATATTATGAAATTCACCATAAAAATCAATATGCAGCAATATTTTATAATTATATTACAATTTATATATAAAATTAGTGGTGTGTGGCATCGTGCCTTAAAGCAAATTGCTGGAACTTCCCGTACCGTAACAAAATGTTCGAAGAATATTAAATGTTTTTGAATACATTATTCTAAGTACTGTAACATTGTTTACAATTTATTTATAAGAATGATATAAACTGAATTGCAAAGTTTAAATTGTTTGTTTGAAGTATTTTAGAACTTAAGTCATAATTAAAATTAAAATCTGAATTATTTTTGATATTCAAAAAATTAGTTTTTGAAAAAAAAATTTAAACCAAAATTTCATCCCCAAAAGTAATTATTTTGTTAAAACAAGCAGAAAGTTCTTTGAATCATTCCAATCGGAATCTTAGTTCTCTCAAAAACTGCCATTTTTGCACATTTAGTAGGTGTATCTTCAAAATGGTTGAGACCTGCCTCTGCCAAAAACTAGTCACCTCTTCTTAATCTTAACTATACTAATTATTTCAAAATTGCCGACATGTTCAATACTGCAAATTGAAATGTGCAGAATAAGCTCATTTTATTTGCAACTGGGACATAAAAAACAAAGTACTACTAGTACTTGACATTGTGCCTTGAGGCAAATTGCTGGAACTACCCATACTAAGAACTAAAAATTTAATTTTCTAAAAAAGCTTTATCACTTTATTATTTTTTTAAAACTGAAAAATTATTTTTTGAGAATTCTGATATTTTTGAACCAATTTGCCTTTTTTATATTTTGAAAATCGCAAAAAATCGAAAATGAAAATGTTTATATATCTTTACGTTTCAGGGGTTTCTGAACATTTTAGCTTACAAAACGGATGTATGTGTGTGTGCATCGACAATTTCAGTTACACGGTTTAATGAGTTTAACCAACCGATTTAAATAATTAAGAAAACATTCGATTCGTATTGATAAGAAAACGTGCTGATTAGTTTTTGTCGAAGGCAGGTCTAGCCTACCTACCCAAGTTTTTGAGAGAACGGAGCATCCGATTTGAATGATCCAAAAAACATTCAATTCGTAATGATGAGCACAAGTGGTGATTAGTTTTTGGCGAAGGTAAGCCTAGCCGTTTTGGAGGTACCGAGCTAAATGTGCAAAAAATGGCAGTTTTTGAGAGAACTACGCATCCGATTTGAGTGATTGAAAACTTTTTACTTGTGTTGACGAAACGATTGCTTTTAGAAAAACAAATTTTTTTGAATATCAAAAATAAATCGAATTTTAATTTTTTTTCTAACTGTAGTTCTAAAGCTCACTAATAATCTTCAAATAAATAATTTTAACTTTGCAATTCAGTTTATATAATTCTTATAAAATATTAGACAATGTCCTTCATTTTAATTTTGATTTGACTAAGTTGTGTTTATTTAGTTTTCTGTAAACATATAGAAGATACAGTATTTATAATAATCTATTTGAAAACATTTAATATTTCTCGATAATTTCATTACGGTTCGGAAAGTTCCAGCAATTTACCTTAAGGCACGATGCCATGCACCAGTAGTTTTATTTGCAACTGTGACGATGAATGGCGTAAATTATTTATTCTGATACTAAGGTTCCGGTTCCAATTCTGAGGCAACATGGCAGATAACATAGCCTTGTTATGGCAAAGCTATCTTATTTTTCTTTCTTAGTACTAAAAACTGTGAAAATGCACATAAAAACAAACCACAAAAGAATGTTATGATAGCTGCATCCACTCTTTTTTTACTCTTCTTTTATCTATGGTTGCACCTTTGTGATGCGCATTTAAAACATACGGTTTTATATGTAAAATAACTTTTATTCAAATATAGACAATTTAATATTGTTCTTGACAGAAGAACCTGATGATGGACGTACTTATTTCCGAAATGTTCCAAGAAAAAAGGATAAGGTAGCATTGCCATAACAACACAACAACACTGTGTTATCTGCCATGTTACTGCAAAATTGGTCCCTTTATTTTAAATATTTGTTTACTGCTTTCAATAACTAGCACAGTTATTAAGCATAAAATATAAAGTAAGTTTAAAAAAGAAAAGTAAAACACAATATTAAAGTATGAACCTGTATAAAATTAATATCAAACTACCAACCAATGATTGTACTAACAACTTAATGAAACACGAATTTAATGAAAGAAGATTAAAATAAAACTTATATTTATCAACCTTTGATAAAAAATATTATCTATATCCTAATATTATAATCTACATATTAATAATATTAAATTTAACATGTCCTTTTCTCATAATGATTATTTAACATATTTGTCATTACTTTTTGGTTCTTTTCTGTGTTATTTTTGTAATAGTTTTATTGTTTCCTTGCACTTTTTTAAATTTATTTAAATATTATTATATTTTAAATTATAAGAAGATAAATATGAACATGATGCAATTATATTTTCATTCTTATATAAAGTTACAATAATTTGAAAAGCAGTTTGAGATTATACCTTCGTTTAAAAAAAAAAGGCTAAATTAAGGGCTATAAAAACAAGGTCAAGTTGCAAAGTTAAAAACCCCTTTTCAAAATATGAAAACAGATTATTTAGCTATAATAGCTATCCAGAAAAACTTAGAATTATATACATTAGGGCGGATCGATTATAAGGTCATTTAGGAACATACGATTTTCAGATTATGGGGATCAAAATAAGATACTTTGCTGAAGAAACCGTACCTGTGAAATACATTCTGATGTCCCGTGCATTGACCCAAAGATAAGGGTTAAATTTTGAAAAACCACTCGAAGGGAGTTCTAAGGTGTGAACCACGGGCATTGGTAAATCGTCCTTCCATAGGGTTGGTCATACATTTGAACGCGATTGGGGGCACTCTAAATGGGTGAAAACGGAATTTTTAAAAATTTTCACCCCAATTTTAGATCAATGCATGGGACATCAGAATTAATTTTAGAGGTATAGTTTCTTCAGCAAAGTATCTTAGTTTGATCCCTAGATCCGAAAATCAAATGTGCTATGGAATTTTTTTTTACCAACACAAATCGACCCGCTCTACGACATATGATTTTCGTATTCTAGGGATCAAAATAAGATACATTGCTGAAGAAACCATACCTCACATCCCCTAAGATAAGGGTTAAATGTTGAATAATCTTTCAGGCGGGGGGGAGGGACAAGGGGTAAACCATGTGCATGGGCAAATCGGCCTTCCATGGAATCGGTCATACATTTGGACGCGATTGGGGGCACTCTAAATGGGCCAAAATGAAATTTTTCGAATTTTAACCCTTATGTTAGTGTTTCTTCAGAAAAGTATCTTAGTTTGATTCCTAGTATCCGCAAATCATATGTGCCTATGCGACTTTTTTTGCCCATACAAATCGACTCGCTTTAATATACATATATGTGCTTTCATGGACATTGATTATAGTGTATATTGGATTTTTATTCATTCATTAATGTATAATTATTATAGTGTTATTAAATAATCATAATTCTTTTGATGATATTAAAATGCAACACTTCCAAGTAAAAAAAATTAAATAATTAAATTCTTTACAGAAATTCTTCAATATCCATTAAAATTGACTAAAATTAAGTTTTATCTATAAAATTATTTTGAAATATAGTCCAGTCATTTAAGCTTAAATTAAGTAAGAATCTCGCAATTCGAGATACCCAACTGTAAGTCTGTAAATACTTATATATTGAGACCCTAAAGTTGTCTCAAAACCTACATATGGTAGGATGTAAATACCATAATTATAATGATTTGAAAATCAGTTCGAGATTATACCTTTGTTTAAAAAAAAAATTGGTTAAATCAAGGGCTACAAAAATCAGATTATATTGCATGGTAGGGTGTCAATACCATATGTAGGTTTTGAGACAACTTTAGGGTGTCAACATACAAGTATTTACAGACTTACTGCTGGGTATCTCGAATTCCTAGGTGAACTCACTATAATGACTGGACTAATAGTTTGTCATAAGATATTAAAAATGTCATTATTATACTAGTGCCAAAATACAAAACACTACAATAAAAAATTGTATTAAAATAAATAATTACATACACAAAGTTTGCACTTCATAATTAGTGTATAACTGATACTTTTTTCTCCTTTACTCCTAAACAAAATATTTCGTCCTAAATACCTTGTTTTTTATGAAAATATTAATAGATTTATATTTATTGGTGTTAAATTTATCTATGATGGTGATCTATTGTATTGGGGGCTCCTTTTTGTTGAAGGATTTTACCATAACCACCTCGACCATCATCATAATCCATTCTGTATTCATCTCTGACCTAAAATAATAATAGAAATAATATAATAAAATAAAAAGTATAATATTTTTTTTGAAATTAATAGAAGATATTGAAATAACAGATGGTTTTACCTGTCCACCAGTTTTTCCACGTCCGTATTGCCTTCCTTCAATGAAACCAGCATCCCAATCGATTCTTACAATTCTGCCGTCTAGTCTGGTACCATTAACATATCTAAATAAAACAAATATAAACTAATTATTGAGCACTGTATAAATAATTTTATAAAGGTTTTTGTTTGTAATAAAGTACACAGATATATTTATTTAGTGAAGTAAATCTTCCAATGTGACTTCAAACAAGGTTGCATTAATTGAGAGACAAAGGGAGAATTTTATGAAAGCTGTTTTAAAATGTTACAAGTCGTCTTAAAACGTTACAAATCGCC